AGGTTTGCAGAGTGCAAAAACTTGTTTTTTTCCTTTTGGAAAGCTCTTTAACTGATTGATGAGAATTACATTGATCAAGTGCTGTGCCAGCAGAAACACCTACCTATCTACTCTATTTCTCCCCCCCCTCTCTCTCTCTCTCTCTCTCTCTCCCCCTCTACCTACAACCTACCTACTGTCTCTCTTTCTCCCTCCCTCCCTTCCTACTGTATTTCTCTATCCCTCTACCTACCTACCTACCTTTTTTTAATTTGCCCCTTCAAAACCTTGGTCCGTCTTATACTCTGAAAAATACGGGTAGGTAAAATTTGAGAAAACCGAGTCCCCACTAATTTTACCAAAAGGGGTGTCCTATGAGCCCTTGTCCCAGAAATGATTAGTGCAAAGCCAAATTGTCCCCCCCCCAAATTGATCAGTAGTGTTTGAGAGATGTGATATGGGCTGGGCACTGGGTCTATAATGGAATAATGAGGCTGTGAGGAAAAACCAGTTGTATTAACTTTTCCTGCAATCTGGCTTTTCCTGCAGTACTGGTGGCAAAGGGTGCAATGATTCACAAAGGCTTCTTTGGTGTCCATCAACCTAGACTTGATAGGACACTTGTATGCAATGCAAAACAAATTGCCAGCCTACAACAATTTCTTTAGTTTCTATTATTCCCTCTGGCCCTAAATGTCCTTCATGGGCTTCATAAAGAATTAAAATAATGACTGCCTACCTTTGGGAGTCCACCTGCTCAAAAAGAACGAAGTAATAACAACGAGAAGGTTCTGCTGGATTGCTGAAATATGAGGGAGGCAGCATTTGGCAAACACCTACCTGATGCATGGCAACAATTCGTGAATGGACAAGTCCCACCAACAGTCTTTGTGGGGAATACCTCATCTTCAAAATTTCCAAATGTGCCCACCACCCCAATAAGTTGCAGATCCCTTTGATACCATGGTACGTTATCTAATGTACATTTTAATCATCACTTTCATAATTTAATTACACCACTATTTCTTGCATATAACTTAACAGGATTAAAACTTCATCTCATATTTAATATCCCTCCAATTTTTTTTCATGTTTCTCTGTGGACCATAGTTTTCTTTCTGTGTGCATTAATCTGCGAACATTGAAGAGTTTCTTGAATTCTTCTGGGACTCCTCTTCTGTGCTTAAGAACAAAATGGGACAATTCACCATGGCTAACTCGCTGCTGTCAACTTGCCACGGCTAACTTGCCACAGCGTGGGATAACTCATCATTTAACAATTCATTTAAATTATTTTAATTTTTGTCATTCACATTTCATTTTGTTTCTACTTTTTCATCCTTTCATTAATGATTATATTCCACAATTTCTTTGATATTAGTGTAACTCCTGACCCATGGCGAGTTGGCCATGGTGAATTGTCATAGACCCACTAAAGAAGCCTGCAAGTTTTTCCTGTGTTCCCTTTCATCTTGTATTTGTTTGATTACAATAATCTATGTGATCTGCTTATATATGTATTTGGTGGCTTAGTCCTCTAGCTAACATTGCCCAACAACTTAATGTAAATCGGGGCTGCAATAGCCGAGCTTCAAATATTCAAATGTTTTTCTCAGTGAAATCCATGCCACGAAATCCATGACCATTGATTCTTCAATTGCTATATTCTCCAACCTTATACAATTTTGACTATAGCACCCCAAAATTCTGAAGTTCTATTTCCAGCCTGGATGGCATGATTGAGCCAAGAAAATATATAGCTAGAATGGGGCAAAGTTTGGTAGTATTGTTTGGTAATACTGTTTTATTTCTGTTTTTATTATTGTAAGCTTCCCAGAGATCTTGCTTATATCATGGGCAGCATGATAACACAACTAATAACATAAGTATAAAATAATGAAAGGCAGAAAGACAGTTTGGTCTAGTGCAGTGGTTCCCAAACTTGGCAACTTTAAGACTTGTGGACTTCAACTCCCAGAATTCTCCAGCCAGCTCTGCTCTGCTGGCTGGAGAATTCTGGGAGTTGAAGTCCAC